CGCCAGTCGTATTTAAGAGACAGGTCCAGGATTCGATGGGGAACGGACAAAAAAAGTAATTCGTCTGGGAATTGTTAATAATCTGTAGCTATAGATGTTAGGTATTAATCACAAACGAAGTTAAACATCTCGACAGACGTACGTTATTCCCAACTCAACGGAAATATCCAGAAAACGACGAAGACGGCATCAGATGCTTCAATAGCCAAATTTGGTCAGCATACAACGGCGATTATTTTTCGACGAACTAGATAACTCGCCTTCTCTTACCCATTAGTTTATGGACCTATCAAGTTTTATCACACTATGATGCTGATGTTCTATCGGCGATATTTAGTTGAGTTCAATTCATCTGTCAGTGTATACAAATAGAAATAACTATGACTAAGTACATGTATCAATAAATAACATTTTATACAGATTTGTCGCATACTGATTGTTTCTGATTTTTTTTTGGAACACTCCCAAAGTATTAACAGGGCAGGACACAAATAAGGACACTGTAATCCAATACAGCACTTTCAGATCAAGTTAATGAATTCGAGGGCATCCACCACGTTGCAACATAGGTCATTAAACATCATACCCCAACCAACAAATTGACTTGTTTATACTGTTAGTTAGGTAGGTGTGTGTGTGGGTGGAAGGGTGGGGGAGGAAATGCCCCCCCCCCCCCCCCGACCTGGTCGCGCATGCAATTTTATGGTTATATGGAAACTGCAACCGTTGCTAACCTAACTGCTTTATCGTCCGATATCTTTTTTGTTAACTTTGAATAAAAATTGATAAATCTGTTGATTTTCGTTAAAGGTTATGGACACAATATTGAATTGATAGTTGTTAATCCGAGTGGGCGAATAAAGCTAGGGACACGAAGTCTCGGAATGTTTTTGTGTTGAGCTAATAAGGGTTATCTCCCTTCAATAGTAAGATCCCGTTAACTTTTATGCACGCTGATCTGAATTTTTCTCGTTTGCAATAGGTCATATCGAGATTCAATATACAAGTTTGCAAGCGTCAATCCAAACAACTGATAAGTTTTGTTGGGAAAGTAGGCCAATATGGATATCGATGATTTCCTAGCAAAATATAATAAATTCTCCAAACTTTGCACTTTGCGGGACTGACCAGTAAAGTTGTTGTCCAGTTTGAATGGGACAAAATGCCGAAGACCACCAGTTCACAAAGTGGTGTGCACGTAAAAGAATCGTTGACAGTTAGTTATCGTTGACCAAACAAAACAATTGGGCGCCGTTGTGGCTCAGTGAGTAAGACGCCTACTCGCTAATCAGAAGATCCCATCTCAGCGGTGCAGAATGGAATGCCGACAAGGAACAGTGTCTAGTTGGGATTGAAGATCGAGTCGTCGTGTACGCAAAAGAACCATTGACAGTTGGAATTCGCTGTACGGGCAAAATTTCCCTTACACAGCACACTACACGGCGTTTGCCCTTCTTCATTTAGCCGGCGAAGAGCAGTGGGACGTTAAAGTAGTGTGAAATCAATAGAGAAACCGAACCAAATCTTAAATGACCATGGCTTACGATAGGATTGTTCGATTTGAACAATTTTTGACTTTTGGGCGTATATGGTCTTTAATATGGGTTGTTCCCCTTTAACATCGAAAATAAACAGTTCAACTTGCACATAATTGTATTGCTTTAACGAATTTAACAATGGGGTCAAACACAAAATATCTTATTTTTGGACTAACATCAGGTCTATCTTTATTTAAATAATTCGTAGGGGTGTTTAGCTTTCTCAGGAAGCCGGAGTTCTTTGGAAACGAGTTTAGGCAGGGACGCAACCTTTACTCCGTAAAGACGTTCAAACCTGGGAATGAAACCACGCCACTTGACTCAATGTAACACAGTACAGTACAAAGAGCACACCCTTACTACACCAAGATACACATTAATTGGATAAAGATTCTTCAAAATGTTTATAAGAAATCATTATTAACTGAATCGCAAGTTGAACATTTTCTGCGAAGAGTTATAATATGTTATAAAATATGACCTATACAAGTTAACAAAAAATGGAGCAAATTTTTATCGGTGTTTGGACATGATATACAAGTCACACTTTTGTTTGAGTTTGATATTACCAACGAGGTAATAATTTATATGAATCATAAGTAATTCATTATTTGGATGACAATATTTATCATGTGTGGCCCATTTAAAGGCGAAGTATCAAGAGAAAATTAAATATAAAAAGTCAAACAAAAATTTGTTATTCCTAGAACTTTTCAAATATAAAGACATCTTGTTTATCTTATAGAAAAAGATTTATAAAAACAAAATACAAAATAAGGGTTGAAACTGATATTTAAATAACAATTTAGACAATTACAGAAACAGAAATGTAAATGACATATCATCTTGCCATCGATGTTCATAGAAATAACATAGACGATTAAAAGAAATTGAAGATGGCGAAGTGAAATCCAAAGACAGTAATGTCTGAAAGTCTATAGTCGCCGTTTATTCTAGAATAGTGTTCCTATTAATTCTGATAAATAGTTCTTGACAATTTAAATATTTAAGACCCCCCGCCCCTCCATTTCAATGGTTTTATAACATGACGTTAAGTGATTCAAGTTATACGCTGGTATCTTGTAGTATGAATAATTCATTAATCAATTTTGTTCGATTTTTTCTGTAGAAACATATTATTGGCCTATTACAGTGGTATTTAATACACATTGATTCCGTCTGGTCAATAGTGGATGAATGAAATGTAAACATTAGATTATACATAAACTGGAAAACGTTTAATAATTTCTCTTAAGTAACTAATTTTTATGCGTATAATTTTGTGAATTGCCAATTAACAATTTAATATAATTGGAGTAATATTTAGCTAATAAGCCGAATGTAAACACGACATACCGACACACCCACTTTAAACGTTGTTTACATTGTTGCTATATGGGTTACCAGTAAACATATATATATACAGAACGCTCATGTCATTGACTATACGTAGCTGTCCAGGGGGTATGAGAACAGTTCAATTTGACCGAAATGCTATTCATATTTTACAAACCAATCGGTGCGTAGAGACCAAAGGCGATATCGATCACATTCGTCATTGCCCAGATCCCGCCTTAGCAATAATTGGCAAGAAATAAAGTTTGACCCAACAGGGCTAATGAAGACGGGCATACGCCCTGCAGTGAGCTGACAGCAATTTACTGTCAGGATTCTTGTACATTTACTCCAAGTTTTACACAGGACCGCGTTCATTTTGTCCCATACGGACGACAGACGTTGTTCCTTGACAGATCCTCCCTTCTACACCACCGACAAGTGAAAATCACACCGCAAAATCGAGCTCGGGATCGGGTTACCAAGCCAAGTTCCCTTTTTTTCGCTTTGAGCCACAGCGACATCTTGACAAGAAATAGAGATATATAATTTTCTCGCATTGTAGAAGATGATCATACTGTTTTTGTTAAATAAATTTTATCCATTTTGCATTTCCAGTTTATGTGGGCAATTATATCGGATTGTTATGTCACTGCTGGTTTCAGTTATTTTTTCTACTGTCTGTGTTTTGTTGTTTTGTTATCTCTCATTATCTGTTAGAATGCTAAACCTATAGAATTTATCTATGTTTCATGACAACTGCATTATTTATATTCTTGTATTGTTATGATCTTATTATTATGTAGATGCAAAAGTATGTTCAGTTTCCATTTATAATAATTGATATAAGGACTCATTTCTCCAGACTTAAAGGGTCACTTCCGAATGTTATTACAAATTACTGATCACCGGCTCTAAAGTACATTGAAAATAACAATAATAACTACATTATATTTTTACTCACCTCCTTTTTGATTATTCAGTTCAGTGGATAATCGAAGCTATTTGCTTCCAAATGATGCCACATATAACATACGGGCGCTTGGGAAATACCCATGCTCCAAAATCAATTTTATACTAAATCGATATCTTCATAGAGGCGCGATAATCGAGTGGATTGAAACATGATCGCCATTTAATAATTTGATTACAAAATGGATAATAGTGACATAGTCTTGATTGTCAAGTACAGTTGCTACGATAATAAACAATCTATGCTACAACTTCAAATACTGATAACTTCGCTCTGAATAAAGTAATTTAAAGGAAATTTTCAATACATTCATTATCAATTATCTATTTTAAATTGTTGTAGCAAGAACAGTCAGATCTTTATCCCAAGGTCACAAGATGTAAACACGGTTAGCGCCAATCCAAACCATAATTCTAACGCTGGACCTAGCCTTAACGCTTACCCTAACCCTAACCTCCAATCTCGCCAACAATCACATGCCCTAACCTTATTTACAACACGGCGACCATTACGAAATCTTGAGTTGGCCTTAAGAAATAGATCTAACCCTATACCGCCTGTATTGCAGGCATAATGAACATCCGGTTTACCCCAGACACGGTATGGTGGGCAGATCCTAATACTCATGTAAGCCCCGGGTACTACCTCAATTTACAAGGGAAATTGAATACATTATTCAATATCTTACAATTTTCCTTCAACACCATACCCAGACTCGGTATGGTGGGCAGATTCTAATAATAACGTAAGCCCCAGGTACTACCTCAATTTACAAGGGAAATTGAATACATTATTCAATATCTTACAATTTTCCTTCAACAAAGAATACACTAACAGAGAGGTTGGCATGGCAATCGGTATGGCGGCTTTACTCGGTACCCGGTTTGAGAAACATTTTGTTTGCAATGGCTGTAGTCGCCATTCAGCTAATAATAATCGTAACCATTGCTACGCAAATAAAGGGATATTCTATAACGCCCTGTCCAAATTCTAATTCTCATTCAGATATAGTAAATAAAAAACAGGGTATTACCAACAATAGGCATAAGCCTCATTGATATCGCACAATTTTTTTTAAGACGAAGTAGTGTACCGAATGATTTTTATCTGTCACCTCTTCAATTGGTCTACGTAATCGGCATGTATAGACCCCCCTGATCATTGACCCATGTGATCGATTATCTTTGATACAATGGATAGTACCCTGGTACAAACACCATATCATAATATTACATAGTCAATCGGTGTGTTTGGAAATATTTGGTAGAGTGGAAACTTTCATACACTTGTTGTATGTTTATTTCATATTTGACATTTGGAACACGAACTAGGCAAAGCAATAGGCCGAATCTGGATAAGATTTTATCAATCGGCCAGTGTAGACAAATTTGGAGTGTGTAAAAACCCGTTTACTGGTATAATTTGTGAATTAAATTGGATACACCTAGCCAAAGAAAGATTTTCGAGGATAAGACAGAATTAAAAAAAAAAATGTTTCGTGTGACATTCAGGACGCAACATTTAAAATACATTTGATTTAGATCTATTTTCACTTAATGAGATTCTGAAGTTTCAATTAATGAGTTGACCTTTAAGGAAAGGATTTGCCATAGGCCTATCTGGTAGTAGTTATTAAAAACACGAAAAGGTATACTTCATTGTTAAAATTACCAAGGATTAGACTGAGAGTGGAATTAGTGAAGATGTCGAGGAAGAATTCAGTAGCAAGTTGTACCAGTTTAGGAGACAGAGAATATAAAACAAATTATGAAGGTTCTCCGACAGACTGGATAACGGGGATAGCACCGATAGAGGTAGGTATTTCTGATCAGATTAGCACACACTTAAGTCGATTGAAACGATTCAACGTACATCGTATGCCTTTTTAAGGGAAGACTTCGACCACAAAGTTCGAACGCCAGCAGAGGTCAATTAGGGGCTATATGGTACTACTGTTATTAACCGACTAGGGTGAGGGTTATCGGGAAGTAAGAGTTCTTCTTTACAGATCCCCCCACAGTAAGCACGGGCCGTGGGTCTAACCTTTCCTAGCCCTTACGGGAATCGAACCCATTCGCCTCACAGTTGCCGGTCCAGCGCTCTACCATTGAGCTTTCGCACAACCTATGTAAGTTTGATATTCTCTGTGGCCGAAACCGCGAACCCCTTTTCAAAACTGTTGTATCCGAACACGTGGTATTTTAATCTATGAATATATACAGACAAATATAATTCTGTTCTAGATACCTGAAATCATAAAAATTGATAATTTTGTAGATACACTATATAGTTCATTGTTTGAGTTCTATCAGCTTTAATTACATTTCCGGGAAAGTAAATATGAAAATAGATTAATTGTTTCGTTTTAAATACCTTCTTATAAGAAGAACTAATAGGGTAGTTTTTATATTAAACGTTATATTTTTTTTTGTTTTGGAATATGACGTGTTCCTTCAGTATGGTCAAAAATGGTGATATTTGAGTATTTCTTCATCTCTGTTCTAGATTTCCTTGTTATCACAATATTTAAGCCATGCGAATTTTGTCCGGTTACTGACAAACATGTATGTTATAGAATAACACCCATTCTAAATTATAAGCAGAAATGAGCCGCGGCGGCTCGGTGGGTATGACTTCGACCCCTGTGCTCATCGAGTTTCCGGCGTGATTCCCCCTTGTCAGTGGCCGTCCTGACAAGGGACACCATATATAGTTGTTCGGGAGTGACCATGTCCTGTGTACACATTGGTGTGAACCTAAAAGAACGAAATAAGAGTAGGCCGTAGTGCCACTGTCCGGGCAAAATTCCCCTAACAGCACACCGCATGCCGTTTGTCCGTCTTCATTATCCCAGTCTGTGGAGAAGAGTGGGACTTTAAATCCCATTTCATTTCATTTTTTCGAAACAGATAGTGTTTATCACTTTGAATAACGTTCGCTACATTACAATACTATATAGATGTTCATATTTTGTCTTCCTAATCTGTCATTTAATAGGTAAAACTAAAGGCGAGATTACCGACGATATAACTTTTAAAGTCGAGTCAGACTTATTAGCTTATATATTAATGGGGAAATTTTATAATGACGTAGATGAGATAAGTGCAGTGAAGTAAATATGGTTTTATGAGTAACAAACGATATAACAGTAAAGATTTACAGATCTAATCATATTAATATTTATTATCAGGAGGACAATAACAAATCACAAAAGTAAAAAATGTTATGTTTACTGTAAGAATGTTATTCTTAAAGGACAACAAGCCAGGTTGTTCACGAATGTCTCAAACGTCACAGATATTATTAATATAAAGACTGTTGCTAGTGAATAACTGAGTAGACGAGTATAGAAAGAATATTTCAAACTTTAACAACATGCACAATTTCCATATTTCCGCATGCTAGTATACCCCCCACCCCCCACCATCACCACACACAGACTTGTACAGAATAATTATTGTGTACATATTTAAATATTTATAGACTTTAGATGCATAAAAATGGCGGCGTGACATTAAAATAGTATAGATGTAATGTTCGGATTGATCGATTTGATTAATTTTCTGGCAAGGATAAGTTTAGTTGTGTAGCACATTAAGACTGTTTAATTAGAATTATATTAGCTTCGTTGTTCCATTAATATGCGTCAAGTTTATTTTCTGTATATGCACCTCTCTTAATTTACATACAGTCATATTATATAATTTTAAAAATCTCATATTTAAAGCTACTTGACTTGTCGAACATGCGTGAAAAATAGCGTAGTCTAAGTAGGTAATTGTCTGTAAAGTTAATTTTATACCAGCGGTTGCCAGGCAAGATACGCCCACATTTCGCAAGAGATTGATAATGAAAAAGCTAAAAACAAAAGCGATTTTTCGTACAATTATGTGCCATAAGCCAGAAGTTATGGTTTGAAATGTGCAAACATCGAAAGGGACTTAGAATTTTGAGACATAAAGGTATATAAAAGTGTGACCTCTAGAATGTCCACAACCTTTGTATTACATACTTTTACACAATTTGCGTATAAAGAGCGGCCATTTTGTCGGGCAGTTTTTATTGCGATTTTCCCGAAATCCAAAGACAACCTTCATTATGGTGGAATGGTGATCTATTTTAACGGTTTTTAAGATCGGATGAAAATTGTGACCTCTAGAGAATTCACAAGCTAAAAAACACGATTTTCATACAATCAGGGGCCATAATCCATAATGTACAGTCTGATATGCGCGACTATCGAAAGCAACCAAGATCTTTCGGTCATAAACATACATTTCAGGTTTCATCAAAATCGGATAAAAATTGTGACTTCTAGAGGGTCCACAACATTGGCACCTTTTTACACTATTTGTGTACAATGAGCGACCAGTTTGTCCGGCAGTTTCGGCCCGATTTTCACGAAATTCGAACTCAACCAACATTATGGTGTAACGGTGATATATTTGAACGTTCTTTTTAAATCAGATAATAATTTTGACTTCAAGAAGGACTACAAGCTAAAAACGCGATTTTTCGTACAATCAGGGACCATAATTCAGGAAGTTACGATCCGATATGTGCGAATATGGATAGGAACCAAGATCTTTGGGTTATAAACATAAATTGACAGTTTCATCAAAATCGGATCAAAATTGTGCCCTATAGAGGGTGCACAGCCCTGTTATATCATATTTTTACAGTAATTTGCGTACGAAGGGCGGTCATTTTGTCAGGCAGTTTTGGTCCAATTTTCACGAAATTCGAACTCAACTAACATTACGGTGTAACGGTGATATATTTTGACGTTCTTTTTAAATCGGATAATAATTGTAACTTCTAGAGGGACCACAAGCTAAAAACGCGATTTTTCGTACTATCAGAGGCCATAATTCAGGAAGTTATGATTCGATATGCGCGAATATCGAAAGGAACCAAGATCTTTGGGTTATAAACATGCATATCAAGTTTCATCAAAATAAGATGAAAATTGTGACCTTTATAGAGTGCCCACAAGCTAAAACGTGATTTATCGTACAATCAGGGTCCAGAATTCATGAAGTTGTGGTCCGATACATGCCATTATCGTAAGGAACCAAGATCTTTGGGAGGTAGACCTATATTTCAAGTTTCGTCAAAATAGGATGAAAATTGTGACCTGTAGAGTGTCCACAAACAAATTGTGGACAGGGACGACGGCATAATACGTCCATATGAAAATGTGGCCCATAAAAATGATAATAATAAAACAATCTTTGGCCCTGGTCAATCTGTGAATTAATTTTCGCGTTCTTGTTTTGGAACCATTCGATTCGAGCGTCCCTGGATATCTGCGATGTAAAATAAAACAATGAGACAGTGATAACTGTGTCGATGCGTGAGTTTGGTTTATCGGCACTCGAAACACTTCAAGATTAAATGAAGTGCCCGTCCTTCCACACACAACACTCGTACAACCGGAAAATCCTCTTTAACGGGAACAGGCAGGATGTAGATAAGATAAGGGTGTAATGGGCAAAAAAATAAACAATTGCGACCAAGATGAGGTATTATTCTTTAATTTGCAATAAAACTATTTTGAGTAAATTTATGAACACCTTCAAGGTAAAGTGGTATTAAACGGCCTGGAAATAGCTCGAAAAAGGAACCATACAAAAATGAAATGAAATGGGGTTTAACATCCTACTGTTCTGCTCCGACTGACTAATGAAGACGTGAAAACGCCAGTGTGCTACGGCATACTCTTATATCTAATTCCAACTTTAAAGGGATCTTTAACGTGCACACCGATGTGTACACGGGACAATGATTTACCGTCCCATCCGAACGACTATCGGTCCTGCATCACTGAACCGCGTAGGAAAATCCCGATGAGCTTTCTCGGTCGACGCAGTGATTGAACACGGGACCTCCAGGTTAGTGAGCCAACGTCTTACCCACTGAGCCGCCGTGGCTCCCAAAGTAACCATACAGTGTTTTGTGAACTTTACTACGTGATCACAATGTGCTATGGAATGTAGAAAGGGTAAGCAAACCAAAGCTATGTGAACTTAGGTAACCTAGAAAGAGCAAGCAAACCAAGTTATGTGAACTCATGTAACCTAGAAAGAGCAAGCATACCAAGTTATGTGAACTCATGTAACCTAGAAAGAGCAAGCATACCAAGTTATGTGAACACATGTAATCTAGAAAGGGTAAGCAAACCAAAGCTATGTGAACTTATGTAACCTAGAAAGAGCAAGCATACCAAGTTATGTGAACACATGTAATCTAGAAAGAGCAAGCATACCAAGTTATGTGAACTCGTGTAATCTAGAAAGAGTAAGCATACCAATGTATGTGAACTCGTGTAATCTAGAAAGAGTAAGCATACCCCGCTATGCGAACTCATGTAATCTAGAAAGAGTAAACATACTTCACTATGAGCAACGCCGATGTTTCTTTAGCCTAACACGCCTTGCAAATTAACAAATGGGACAGACATACCCATAAGGTTGGTGTTATAGCCGCTCACGATAACCTAGGTCAGAAAGGTGACTTACCCTTCTAAATTATATAATAACAAAAAAGCTCCCCAGTGACACTCAGTTTTAAAACAATAGCTATAATTATACATACAACGTAAAATAACTGACTATTTAAACAGAAGACAACATGAAAATCGATAGTAAATTAGCACACTCTTTTTGTACTAAGTCTTTAATGTCATTCGTTATAACTTTGGCACGCTATGGATCGTCTGCCGCGATTTATTTGATCAATTGGGTATGTTTCAAAGATGTACGTTGTTGTTAGCAACTGAGGAGCCACTGTGAGTAAGGCACTGCATTGGCTC